TACCCCATTTTACAAGTAAAGAAACTAAAACTGGTGGTTTTAAGTAACTGGTCCAGGGTTACTTTACATGGATAATACAGTAAGTTTCTACTAACTATACCACACTTCCCACCAAAGACTGTGCCCACATCTACCTACAAGTAATTGCTTAAAAAAAAAAAACCTGACCAATCACCCAACATTAAAAACATATGCCTCAAAGCCTTCAAGAAATTCCAATGTTAAAAATTACACATGCCCTGGCCGGTGTGGTTCAGCTGGTTGGAGTGTCGGGTTCGATTCCCAGTCAGGGCACATACCTAGGTTTCAGGTTCAGTCCCCACTGGGGCATGTATGGAAGGCAACCATTCAATTTTCTCTCTCACATCAATGTTTCTCTCTCCCGCCCCCTCCCTCTTTCTCTAAAATAACAACAACAAAAAGGTTAGAAACTACAACGTGGATTCCCATGATATTAATTCTGCATGTTTAGCCAGAAAAAAAAAAAAAAAAGGAAAATTTTCCCCCCTTACATCCACATATGCTGTTGGATGTCCCGGGACTCCCAGAAAGTTGAGAACGTGTTTAGTCTTCAGGTATTCTAGTAGTAATTTTCAAAGTGTGTCACTCGTGACAAGACTCCGAGGGTGCAAAGAGAGCCAGAAACCCTAAAAAACATTATGAAATGGGCTCAAATAAAGAGAGAAGGTGGTGCTGGAGACGACACTGACTACCTAGCACCACGTGCAGGACTCTGCTTTGAAGTGTCTACACCCCTCTCCCACCACAAACAGGGTTGTGGACCTCAAAGCTGCTTGGTCAATGCTCTCATCAAAGCCTGGACCCCTCAACAGTGTTCTCTGGATTAAACATGGGGCTGACCAAAATACGCTCCCTGCAATTTAACAGGTGTTCTCAATGAAGGATTTGCTCGGTTTTTGAAATTCCATCTTCTGTGAAGACCTGAAAGCTGATGGAAACCTGAGCCTTCAATTCCTTCAAACCTCCTTGACATCTGTAACCCCCTTGACATCTGTAACATCTGCCTACAAAAGCTCTACTCCGAGGTTTCGGTAAGGTCTCCTCAAGTCACAGTCAAGTTTGTCTTCCCAATTAAATTGGCAATTAAAGACCAACTTATAAAAAGAAGAGTCAACCTTTAATTGGAAAGCAAATCACCTAACAGTAAAAGGTAGACACATTTCCCAATTAAAAATCTGACAAGAACTCACAAAAACAAAAGAGCATTTCCCAAATGTCATGGTGCTTATTTCCTGGTTAGAAAGGCTTCCTGCTCCAACTCCACACCAAACACAAGGTGACAGGTGGGGGCAGAGGATTGATAGTACAGCAGGAAAATGTTGTGTGCGGACATGGGCATGAAACTGTACAAATTGTGCATCAGCAGGGAGTCAGGACTCTGTCCACCCAATTAGTTCCATTTTAAGGGGCCAGTGGGCCAGACTTCAAACCAAAACCTGCAGTGAGCAGACGCCCGACAGACTCAATCCCCAGCCCTGGGTCTCATCGAAGCCCCTCCTCACCACCTGCGGACCTCTTTGCAAAGCCCAGAGTACACCCTATGGAAGACCTGACTGTCCTGACATATTTTTAAATGGTTCAGAATTTCATTTATGAGTCTCAATGTACTTTTAAAAATACCCATCTGCCAAATGTGATACTTTAATACCAGTTACACTATACCTCATCTTTAAGTTACTTTGATGGACTACCACACTAGCAAAATAGAGTCATTTTTTAACTACCTGGTACCCTGGTTAGAAACCCTGGTGCCCTAGATGAGATTTGGATTAGGCATGTCCACACCTACTCTGTCCTTAGGTCAACCCCTTATTCATCTGTACATTTTTTTTATCCAGTGTTAAAAGACAATTATAACAATAAATGCTCTTCTAACAAATAGGAATAGCATTTTAAAAATACATAAAAACTTGTCAATACATAATGTAGTTTAGAAATGACCTTTTTTACATATCTGAACAAGAGAACTGAAGGAGAATTTTTAACATTCACTATTCAAAAAAGAAAAACAACTGCTCAGTGATATAAAAAGATAAAGCTAAACTAAGCAAACTTTTCAGAGGACAGAGGACTCTTTCATGAACAAGTAATTTACTGTGACAAAATGATAGGGCCAAGGAAACATAAAAGAGAATTGGCACATCTAGTTCCAAGTATCCTTTAGATGTAGTTCAAATTTTATTAACATGAGTCTAAAATTGTTTTTTCTTTTTGAGGCTTGTTGCCAAAGCAACCAGGAAAGCTACAGTCTTTGAGAGTTTGAAAAGAGGTTAAGGGTAAGAGGAGGTAACCAAAGTTTTATACCAGGAATGAGGAATCATGAAGACAATGTTGCAAGAAGGGTAACACAGAAAATACAAATTGAACAGATAGACAAAGCAGCAACTACAGTGACAGAACAATTTCTCCAGTTTTATTGAGATAAAAATGACATTTAACAATGTATTCATTTAAGGTATAAATGGGATTTATGTGTATGTTGCAAAGTGATTACCACAGTATGTTTAGTTAACATCTATCACCTCACAGTTATGTTTTCTTGTGATGAGAAATTTTTATATTTACTCTCTTAGCAACTACATTCCCTATTCTGTTCCCTGAAGTACTCTCCCCTGACTCTCCCCAGCCTGAACACCAAGGTAATATCACCATCCTCCTCTCATTCACTGCCACTGTTTATGAAAGTTAAACCATTGGGTATGTTCAAAAGCATATCAGGAAGGAAACAAGAGCGGAGAGAGTTAGCAACACCCTCACTACAATGTCAAAATTGCCCTGCGTCTCAAAGAGATGTTGACATATAAACGTCAACATTCTGACAACATCAGTCTTAAAATGGTCACGTGTAAACATGAATATATAAACGTCAACATTCTGACATCAACAACATCAGTCTTAAAATGGTCACGTGTAAACATGAACCAGTATCCTTACCCAGAATGCTAGGTGTGGACACTCCATTTATATCATGCTGGTAATAGATAGAACAAAATAAAAAGTGTTGTTCAAATGGTCTGAGGTGGTCAAAAATAAGGAAGAAAAATGAAAACAAAAAAAAAGGAACAGAAGCCAGAATAAAAAAAAAAAATGCGCTGGGACTAAATCAGGGTGATCATGAGAAAGTAATATGTATGGACATAAGAAATGGATGGATAAACCACAAAATCACACCCCACACCACCCAGCATTGGGAAATTTCCCCTGGAAAACACAAAGGCAACCAAAAAGCAATGTATGTTTTGAATCAGTATCAATAACAAAGCTTTAGTTTGTTTTTTAAGCTTTTTTCAAATATAGAACATTAGGGTAAATTTAACTGCATTTTTAAAAACTGATATAGCATAAAAGAAATGGGTAAAACCTACAGAATCATAAGTACACCAATGAGATGGTACATTTGTATATAGCTGCTAACTTCCCTAATTCCCCACTCCACTTTCACTGGGAAATAATCACTCCTTCCCGGGGATTCCCATTGCATCCCATCTGTCTCTTCTAGTCTCATGTCATAGTTGTTACTTACATATTTTATCCCTCAAATATAGTGTACATCATGTCAAATTAGTCTTTGCAAAATTCAAGGCATTCACTCATTCATTCAATAAATATTTCCAAAGTACATATAAGTGCCTGGCACCATGCTACAGACAGGAAATATGTACTGCTTAAATGAATGCTGACTGCAAGGCAGAAAAAAGTGAACTAGTCCAAAAAAGAATCCACATAAATCATGTGTTATATATTTCCAAGGGGATTCGGATGGGAAGCTACAAATGTTCTGATACCGTGGAACAGCTGCTCTACCTGTGTATTGTCACAGCAAGAAAACGTGTCCACAATACAACCGCACTTCCTCTGCTTGGCCTGCCAAGTATATTAAGTATTTCCATACAGAGAATTATCATCTTAATCCTTTAAAATATTTAGTAATGATGGCTTCATATATCATAATCTTAACCTAGAGGTCCCTAAATAACACACATGAGATGGGTCTTTATAAGTCCAGGAAAGGCAGGCTGTTTTAAAAGTTCGATCTGTGCATTCATTCAAGAACTTATTAAATACCAGATACTGCTGGGCCAGGGTTTTAAAAAGATCAGGACAGTCCAAGAGCCCTCCAAGAACTGAACCAAAAGTTTGCCATGGCGGGGTGGGGGGGTTGAGGACAGTCACGTTTTATTTCATGGAAAATACCAGAGTTGAAATTCAAATGCCAACAACGTAAAAAACGTGTTGCGTTTTATTCTGGTTGTTTTCAGTCACTCCCTCATTCTTAATGGTACTTGAGAGGATTCCCCCATCCTCGACTTATTTCACTTAAAAAAAAAAAAGGCCTGCCACTCCCACTCCCACTCCCACTGGGGGGGGGGGGGGGGGGGATGTGTACAGAGGGTAACTTGAAATTTGTTTCATTTCTTTCTTTCCTTCTTAAGGAATAGACCGGAAAAGGAGGCAGAATAAAAGTCGAAAACGGATGAGTGCCTGCAGACCCACAGCCCTGGCACGGGCTCACTACCGGCTCCCGCCCGAGAGGGAGGCTGTGGCCGTTCACAGGTGGTTGGGGTGCCCCGAGTGTGACAACATTATCTGCAGCGCGGGGCAGGCCTCACACCCCAAGTCCCGGGAACCGAGCCCCTTCCGGGGAGCGCGGCAGAGGGAAACCCACAATCCAGGTGCGGGGCGGGCGCCCGGAGCTCACCTGGCTCCCTCCACCACGCCCCACAGCTTGCCGGCAGGGCCTGGGCATCCCACGGGCAGCTCTGGCCCCAGAGAAAACACCGAGGGAGGCTCCTCCCTCCAGCCCAGCCCCCGGACACTGGGGGGTCCGTGGGGACCCTGGGATGGGCTTGCAGGAGACCAGGAGGGGAGGACAGGGGAGGGTCGGCACCCGGCTCACCCTTCTCCCTGCCAAGCGGAGGTGGAGCCGCTGCCCGCTGCCCTGTCCCCTGACCCTGCCTCCTGCCTCCTGCCTCCCTCACCTGATCACAGAGATGAGCAGCCCCGAGGGGTCTTTGCTTTTGCTGACTGTGCCTCGGTACTTGCCACCGGCTGCCTCTGCCGCCATCTTGGTAACGGGCGGAGAACCCGCGGGCTGCAATGGAGCGAAGGCGGTGAGAACTCTGCAATTGACCTCTCCGAGAGCCCACCAATAGGAGAAGAGCATTTCACAGAACTTCTCTTCCCGTTGCCGGAGTGAGGGGGCGGGACTTCGCGCGTTTCCAGGCCGACGCGCGTTCTAAGCACGCTGGGAATTGTAGTTTTTCTTCAGCCGCTTCTGGGCGCGGAGGAAGCCAAACCAGGGGCTGCTCCGTGAAGTCCCCTAATAAGTGACTTACTTATCTTTATTCTGATCTTCGTATTTTTTAATTTCCTTGTTTTTAGAATGATATCAGTTTTTAAGTTAAAATTTATCTGATGATGCCACAATGTGTGTGTGTGTGGAGGGGCATATCTAAGTGGGGCAGGGGTCTATGCTTGATGTCTACATGCACGATTCTACTTCAAAAATAGTAGTTTTTTTAAAAACAGTAAAATGTGAAAATGAAGAGACAAATGCTTTTCTTTAATATTCTCTAAAACTAAGTGTTTTGCATTATTTTTATGTGAGTTCAATCATTTTCAGTGTCCCTGTATTCCCAGATAATCCTAAAAAACATACACTCAGGAACCCGCAAATGGATATTGATGAAGACCAAAGAAATGAAAACCAAAACTGACCAGATTATAAATTCCTTTTCTTCCCAAGCTAAATAAAATATGGATAATAATCATGTCCATGTGTGCTTTATTAATATTTTTACTAGTAAGTCTTCATATTTCCTGCGTATGACTCTTGGTTTAGTTATTCATTCAGAAGATGAAATAAACAAATAACAAAGATTAGGGTATGTATAGGAAGTAGACAAATCAAAAACAATACAAAAAACAAATACTGAAAAGGAGGGAAAGAGGTAATCTTGTAATACTGTAAATCAGAAGACACCTTAGTCAATAAGCCAAATTAATTTGGAGTCTTTTATTAGTACGCTAGCACTAGTGGGCTCAGAGTAGAATGTGTCAGATTCTGGGCTCCAACATGATGGAAGTCTTCCCTATTTATACTTTTTTCAGCTCTTTGTCTTCCAAATTTGGAAGAGACTTCTGGACCTTCTGAGAAAGAAGTCCTATGTGCTGGGACAGGGCGGTGAGACCATATTTCAAGACCTGGCCTGGAGCCAGCACTGACAACTCTGTCTGGGGCATAGTTTATGGCCTCTCTGGAATGGAAGTAGTCTTATTTTTCCTTATTATTTAAGCAAGCACGCGTTTACAGAAGCCAAAATAGCAGGGTTAAAATTTCAAACAGCAGTTTTTTACACAAGATGGAAGTTACTATGCTTCAATCTGCTTAGTAGCAGTAAAGATTAAGAATTTAAGAGATGAATAGAAAGCAAACTCAGAGGTCTGGAGTTGTGAAGTAGCAACCCCAAAACACATCAACTACTTTCTTAAACATATATTGTAAAGAAATATCTACACTAATAAAAGAGAAACATGGTAATTAGCATATGACCGCTACCCTTCCCATTGGCTAATCAGCATATCCTTATGCAAATTAACTGTCAGCCAAGATGGCGGCCGGCAGCCATGCACTGAAGCGAACAGGGAGGCTTGCTTGCTCCAGTGACGGCGAACTCCAACGTTCCCCGCCTGCCGCTGCCGGCCTCTCAGCTGCAACTCTAAGCAACTATGTTGCAAATATAGAAGCTAAACAAAACCCCAGAAACCGGCTTTCAGTCAGCCGGGCTTCAGCCAGCCTGACCGCAACATTGTGAGCTGAAGTACATTGTTTCGATTATAGAACGGCAAACAAACCAGATACAAAGCCTCAGAGCTAGAGCCAGAGCTAAAGCTGGCCCAGAAGAATATTAAAAAAAGAGGAAAAAAAGGAGCAGTTGGGAGCTTCAGTCAACAACCACCAGCCTGAAAGCAGCCCTCAGCCCCTCACCCAGACTGGCCAGGCACCCCAGTGGGGACCCCCACCCTGAAGGGTGTGTGACCAGCTGCAAACAGCCATCATCCCCTCATCCAGGCTGGCCAGGCACCCCAGTGGGGACCCCCACCCTGAAGGGTGTGTGACCAGCTGCAAACAGCCATCATCCCCTCATCCAGGCTGGCCAGGCACCCCAGTGGGGACCCCCACCCTGAAGGGGGTGTGACCAGCTGCAAACAGCCATCATCCCCTCATCCAGGCTGGCCAGGCACCCCAGTGGGGACCCCCACCCTGAAGGGGGTGTGACCAGCTGCAAACAGCCATCATCCCCTCATCCAGGCTGGCCAGGCACCCCAGTGGGGACCCCCACCCTGAAGGGGGTGTGACCAGCTGCAAACAGCCATCATCCCCTCATCCAGGCTGGCCAGGCACCCCAGTGGGGACCCCCACCCTGAAGGGGGTGTGACCAGCTGCAAACAGCCATCATCCCCTCATCCAGGCTGGCCAGGCACCCCAGTGGGGACCCCCACCCTGAAGGGGGTGTGACCAGCTGCAAACAGCCATCATCCCCTCATCCAGGCTGGCCAGGCACCCCAGTGGGGACCCCCACCCTGAAGGGGGTGTGACCAGCTGCAAACAGCCATCATCCCCTCATCCAGGCTGGCCAGGCACCCCAGTGGGGACCCCCACCCTGAAGGGGGTGTGACCAGCTGCAAACAGCCATCATCCCCTCATCCAGGCTGGCCAGGCACCCCAGTGGGGACCCCCACCCTGAAGGGGGTGTGACCAGCTGCAAACAGCCATCATCCCCTCATCCAGGCTGGCCAGGCACCCCAGTGGGGACCCCCACCCTGAAGGGGGTGTGACCAGCTGCAAACAGCCATCATCCCCTCATCCAGGCTGGCCAGGCACCCCAGTGGGGACCCCCACCCTGAAGGGGGTGTGACCAGCTGCAAACAGCCATCATCCCCTCATCCAGGCTGGCCAGGCACCCCAGTGGGGACCCCCACCCTGAAGGGGGTGTGACCAGCTGCAAACAGCCATCATCCCCTCATCCAGGCTGGCCAGGCACCCCAGTGGGGACCCCCACCCTGAAGGGGGTGTGACCAGCTGCAAACAGCCATCATCCCCTCATCCAGGCTGGCCAGGCACCCCAGTGGGGACCCCCATCAGAAAGGTAGTCCAGAAGGACATCTGGTCTAATTAGCATATTATGCTTTTATTATTATAGATTGTACTGATGAAAGTTCACATTGACTTTTTAAAATCAGCTTGGAGTTCTCATTTATTTTCTTTTTATGTAAAAGTAGTCATAGCCTTTGGCTCAATAATTCCAGTTCTAGGGACTTTGTTCCTAAAAAAAATAGAGGCATAGAAAAATATTGAAAATTTGAAACAACATAGAAATTTTAAATATAGAACATTCATATAAGAATATAACAAATAGCCACTGGAAATCATAATTTTAATCTTTACTGAAAATAAAGTTTTCATGGTATAAGTGCAAAAAGCAAGTTATAAAGTTAAATAACTCATTAATATAAGGCAGATAGTTGGGCCTAGTGGCTAAGAATACCAACAGTAGTGGGGAAAAATGATCATCATCTTAGTTGACAGAGAAAAAGCTTTTGACAAAACCCAACACACTTTTCATGATAAAACACTCAGAAATTAGAAACAGGAGGGAACTTCTTAAACATAATAAAGGATATTTATTTAAAAACCGCAGCTAACATCATACTCTGGTGAAATACTGAACATTTCCAGCTCTGATCAGGCACAAGACAAGAATGCCCACTTTCACCACTTCCATTCAACAAAGTACTAGAAAGTCTGGCTAGCAAAATTAGGCAAGGAAAGAATAAAAGGCATTCAAATTGGAAAGGAAGGAGTAAAACTATTCCTATTTTGTAGACAATATGATTTTACATATGGAAATCCTAAAGAATTTTTTTTAAAAAACTGTTAGAGCTAATAAATGAATTCAGCAAGGTTGCAGGATACAATATCAAGAAAAAAAATCAGTAGTGTTTTTATACAATAGCAATAAACAATCCAAAAAGAAAATTAACAGAACAATTCTATTTACAATAACATCAAACAGATTAAAATACTTAGGAATAAATTTATTCAAGGAGGTGAAAGACTTACACATTGAAAACTATAAAACATGCTGAAATAAACTGAAGAAGACCTAACTAAATGGAAAGACATCCTGTGTTCATGGATTGGAAGAGAATATTTTAAGATGTCAATACACCTAAAGCTATCTACAAATTCAGTGCAATCCTATGAAAATTCCAATGGCCTTTTTTTGCAGGGTTGGAAAATTGATCAAAAAATTCACATGGAACTGCAAGGAGCTTCAGAAAGCCAAAACAATCATGAAAAACAACAAATTTGGAGGACTCAGACTTCCTGATTTTGAAACTTACTAAAAAACTACAGTAATCAAAAGGGTGGTATTTGCATAAAGATAAAAATTAGATAGAGTATAATTGAAAGTTCAGAAATAAACCCATACATCTAACATGCAAAAGAATGAATTTGGCCAAAACCGGTTTGGCTCAGTGGATAGAGCGTCGGCCTGCGGACTGAAAGGTCCCAGGTTCGATTCCGGTCGAGGGCATGTACCTGGGTTGCGGGCACATCCCCAGTAGGAGATGTGCAGGAGGCGGCTGATCGATGTTTCTCTCTCATCAATGTTTCTGGCTCTCTATCTCTCTCCCTTCCTCTCTGTAAAAAATCAATAAAAATATATTTAAAAAAAAAATAAGGACAATGCATTTAAAATACTTAGAACAATAAAAACAAAAATTAAAATAAAATAAAATACTTGGAACAATAGCAATACATAATAGTTACTATTTGGTGTTGTATTGGATGCTTAAGTTTGACATTATATCACTATAGGTATTACCACAAAAATTGAAGAGTTTATGAAAACAAATGTTTAAGGAGCACTGAATGGTAATGATGCAAAACAGATTAAGTTCCTGATTTTATTAGTAAATATCATTATCACATTGAAATTTTTATATCCATGAAAAGAGACCAGCAATTTCTTCTTAAATCCAAAGATTAAAACATTTTTGGGACAAACTACTTCTAGGCACAGGAAGATCCACGGAGACTAAAGAGAGCTATGCTGATCATCTGAATGCTGTCTCCGTCCACACCTTTGGGAACCCCTGGCCCGCTGGGGCTGGACCCCGACAAAATCATATACTGGATAGTTTATAAACAAAAAAAATTTATTTCTCACAGTTTGGGAGCCTGGGAAGTCCAAGATCTAGGGACCTTTGTGAGGTCTCCTTTATTTTTTTATTTTTTAAATATATCTTTA